AAAAAAAAAAAAAAAAAAAAAAGACAGACTCTGTTTGAGTGTTAACTCCTTCAATATGAATTAAGGTCCCTAAAATGAACTCAAAGACTGGTATGAATAGATCGAAGTTTCCCGGGTAAAACCAAAGTTGACTAGTCTAGCTGAGAGTGGGAACATGGGAGGACACATGTACAGCTGTAGCCACAGGAACCTCATAGTCTATGTTTTCTCCCTTGTATGAATTGAAGTATGGAAGACAGAATGTATAGAAGTACTAACCCAGGACACTGGCATATACACACAACCCACACTCCCCATCACACATCCCCTAGTCACATTTATCTTAGGGGACCCCTTGAAGTTCAAGTACACAGGATACCTAAGATCAGTAGAATTCTTATTTTAATGGATATTAAAACAATAAAGGAAAGAATAAAGCACTTGCTTTTGTCTTAGATGTTGAAAAACTCTTCCAAAAGAAACTAAAAGACCAAGTGAAAGCTCTTAACCAAAAATTCAAAGCTGGCTAAACCTGCTACCCAAGAGTTACAACTGGCAAAAAGTCAAGAGTCTGATCAAGAGATAGAACAAGATTTTATGCTTGTAAGTCAAAATTAATATCAGAAAAACAAAATTAAATTTTATGACTATTCTGATTATATGTCAGTTATCATTTTAAACATTTCACTCTGTTTTGACATGTGTGAATTTTGTCTGCTTTATTCCAAAATACAAGTATTAATACATTTACTTCTAAAGGATCTGTAACCTTAGGGTTCTGTAATATACTGGGGTTCTGTACATATTTGGGGTTCCTTAGTACACAAATATACTGTAAATTAACTGGGCTTCAAAATAGAAAATCTCAAGGTCAGTTTGAAAACATACTTTCCAAACAATCGAATAAAAATACTTCATTGAGGGGGGTCTCAATTAAAGACTAAAAGACATTTAAGAAGACCAATTACAATTGATGGACATTATTTGGATACTGACTTAAACTTTATTTTTTTAAATATATGCAACTGAAGAAATTAGAACATTAGATATTTGATGATATTAAGAAATAAGGTTTTGATATAATAATGGTGATGTAGTTATGTTTTTTAAAAAGCCCCTCTATGTTAGAGATACACATAGAAAGATTTATTGGTGAAGTAATATGATGTCTAAGGTTTGCTTCAAAATAGGTGAGATTGAGTAAAGGTATTGACGAAGCAAGACTGGCCAGGAGTCGATGGCTATTGAGGCTGAGAGACAGATTCATGGAAACACACAACACTATTCTCTCTACTTTTGAATACCATTGAAATTTCCTACAATAAATAAGAGAGTCCATATCTGGTAGAAATGCATACTGAAATATTTAAAATGAATATGATGTCAGGCATTTGCTTCAATGTGACATTTGCTTTGAAGCCACCTGCTGAATAGAAAATGTATGGTAGGAGACCAAAATGAGCAAGAGAAGGCCAATTATTATTAGATTATTCCAGCTAAGAAGGAATAATGGCTTGACTACAGTGGTAGCAACAGAGGTGGAAAGAAAAGGGTGGACTGAGAATGTTCTGCAGCTAGAATAAGTTACAAATTATAATACAATGTGGGCAACTTCTGGCTTGAGAAACTGGATGCAGAGAGGGCCCTTTATTGAGATGAGGAAAACCAGAGGAGGAGCATGTGAGGGAAAGAGGAAATAGCAGAGCATACTTAGATCTGCTAAGTTTGAGTTGCTTGCAAAGCACCCAAAGGGAATACCAAGTCGGTAACTGGATAGGGAGTTCTATAGCTCAACTAGAGAAACATTTGTGGTGGTCATCAGCACTCAGATGGTATTGAAAGTAATGAGAATGAAATCATCTTGAGAGTGTGTAGAAGTGTAAAGAGAAAAAGCCCAGGGCTGACCCTGAGGAATGGCAACATTCAAGAGTTGGATGGGGCCAGGCGAGGTGGCTCACGCCTGTAATCCTAGCACTCTGGGAGGCCGAGGCGGGTGGATTGTTTGAGCTCAGGAGTTCGAAACCAGCCTGAGCAAGAGTGAGACCCCGTCTCTACTAAAAATAGAAAGAAATTAATCGGACAGCTAAAAATATATAGAAAAAATTAGCCGGGCATGGTGGCACATGCCTGTAGTCCCAGCTACTCGGGAGGCTGAGGCAGAAGGATCACTTGAGCCCAGGAGTTTGAGGTTGCTGTGAGCTAGGCTGACGCCACAGCACTCTAGCCCAGGCAACAGACTGAGACTCTGTCTCAAAAAAAAAAAAAAACAAAGAGTTGGATGGGGAAGAAGTCAGTAAGGGAGACAGGAGAATGTAGTCACAGAAGGCAAGAAGGAAAGAGAATTTCAAGAAAGGAGGAAGTGGGCAGCTGTGAAACACTTCTGAGAGCTCTTATAAGACAAAAACTGAGAAGTGTCCACTAGAGATGGTGACATGAAGTCAGTCACATGGTCAAGGCAGGTCCAGCAAAAAGGCAAGGACATTAACGAGGCAGCCCCAGATGGACAGACAGATGAGTTAGTACGGACAGACAGAAGGACACACAAGTGATACAGACTCTAATAGAAGAAAAAAACACACATAGATAGGGCAGCATTAACACATGAGTAACAGACACAGACATATGGATGGGGCAGAGCCCCGGCACAGCAGGCAAGAGACCCAGCAAGCTACACTCACCCTCTGTGCTCCCCGGCATGGGCCACACACTCATCTAGCCAGAAGCTCCAAGCACAGACAGGGTCTTGGGCCAGGATGCACTCTGAGCAGCTCTGGAGACGGCCACAGTTGGTTGTGTTCACCTGTGTCACCTCGGTACGGGAGCCAACCAGGAGCCAGTCCTACAAAAAGAAGTGGGGAAGGGGAATACACTGGATCTCCCAGACCTCAGGGTCACAAACTGGCTCTGGACTCAGATGTCTCCCCACTGGACTCCCCAAAATCTAAAACTCACGTGGTACAATTTCATGTTCTCCACTGGCTGTGGCTCTGGGAATAAGGCCAGATCTTCAAGGACGCTGAGCTGGGCTCCGATCTGCACTGCTCGGTGAAGGTGTCCATCCTCTAGGAGGCAGGTAAGAGGCAAGAATAATGACATAACTGTCTCTGTGCCTGGGACTATGACACCTGTATGTATTACAGGACCCTCTCTGCAATAAGCGTTTGTGTGCATTGAGTGGGCAACCTGCTTGACTATTAAATATACCTGTCCCCAGGTAGAGCACATCATACTCTTTCCCTGAGAGGCTTGTCACCCTCTGGGCCACAACTCTCAGATAGGCTGTATCCGTAGTGACCAGCAGGGGGTGGCCATCAGCTGGAAACACTGGCTTGTCCATGAGTGGGTGGTCCCGGATGAAGGTGAGCACACGGTCAGGCAAGGAGAGAGAGGAGCTGAACTGCTGGAGCTTCATGTTTTTGGTGATGCACTAGAGGAAATACAGGGCTGGTGACAGAGTTTCCCAGGGAACAGGAAATGTCAGTGATGCTTAGTGGAGCTCTTGCCCTAATGGCAGCTCTTTAATTCAGGCCTGGGATGAAGATCTTCCCCGGTCCCCTCACCTCTCCAGGTCTGGGCTGGGGCACCTCATTGTCCATGACAGGCAGTCCCCTATTGCAGTCATGTTTTAGTTCTCTGAAGGAACCATTCAGCGCTGTCCGAATGTCTTGTGGTCGGAAGGCACACACAGCAGAGATGGCAGCTCCCTCCCTGGAAAAGTAACAGGTTGGAGCCAGATATCTGGAGGGAGCTGGGGATAGCAACTCATTGCTTGCCACATGAGATGACTGACAAGAAATGCACAGGGAGCCATGCAGCCAAGGGAGGAAGTGTGCACCCCTCTCGAGGAGACAGTACTGACGCTGCACCAACCCCACGTATCTCCCACCTGTAACTCTCCTCCACACCCAGACCCTCACCACTGGGAGGAAAAGATGCCATAAAAGATGGGGGTCCCTGCCCCAGGCTCAGGTCGAAGCACGGCCACATCCTGCAGGACACTGGAGGCCCGGCCATGCTCAGGCCCCGGGCATAGCAGGTCAGCCTTCAAAAACGTTGTCCACCTCTGCTGGAGGGTCTTCCGGCCCCCAAGGTCCCCCTGAGGGGATAAGCACATGGGAGGTTCTCTGTAGAAGACCAACACTGGGCAAAGAGTGTGGAGACCAATACAACTGTCCTCCCTGACTTCAGTGCAGACATGGACAGATGGGGAGAGAGATGCATAGAAATGCAAGGACAGAGATACAGACAGAGTAACTGTGGCCATAATGAGTTACAGAGGGGTCACAATAACCATGGCAGTGACTGAGTTAACTGTGCACTTTTAAAGTACTGTACTAAGTGTTTTACATAAGTTACCTCATTTAGTCCTCAAACAACCCTTATAGATAGGCATCATTATTATCCTCGTTTGACAGAGTATCAAAGATGCTAAAGAACCTGCCCAGAGTCACAGCAGCAGCAAGTGGTGGAGCAGGGAGTTGAGGCTTGGACTGTCTATCACTAGTTCACCTTCTGTGGACAGTGTGTCACAAGGGTAACCATGGGGGTCAAAGAGGCCAGAGGCCCCCTCCCACATTCCGCAAGCTCCCAGAAAAGAAGCCAAGGCAGAGGAAAAAAGAAACAGAGGAAAGATGCAAAGACAGAGACCCAGAGAGAAGACAGGAGGACTGACAGAACAGGAGACGACAGACAGACAGCCAGGATAGGTGTCTCACCGCACAAACACGGGCCACCCGTGGGACCTTAATGTGCTCGTATGAATCAAATGCTCGGGAAGTCTCCGTAAAGAAGAAGTAGATTTCATCATCTCCATCTTCGTCCCCCCACTCGGCTGGGCTCAAAGCCACGGCTGCAACAAAGGCTGGGGCTGGGGAGACCAGTGGCCTCAGATCCCCACAGACACAGCCTGGGGCCACCCAGCCTCCACCCCTCTGTCCCCCAGAGGACCCCTCTCTCCCCCTCCCCACCGTTGAGCCAGGATGGCAAGGCATCTGTCCGAATCCAGTCCTCAGCACGACCCACAGCCCGGGAGATAATCGGCTCCGTCCCCCGGTAGTTTTTCACAGTGGCAGTATAGAGGACTCCCCCTGCAGGGTGATAGAGAAGAGATGGGGCTGTCAGGGGCCCACTGAGAGAAGCGACAGAGGTCACAGGCAGAGCAGGGAGTAAAGCAGGGCAGTGACTCTCAGGGACTGACAGTGCCAGGCACTGCTGAGTACATCACAGGTATCACAGCGTGTAAATAAACATGGAAATAAACTGCTCCAGGGCAGTCAGGGGGACCAGGGTTAAGGAAAAACTATGCAGGAATGTTCATGTGTATGAAGCGAAATCAGAGTTGTTTGGGGTTTTCTGTTGTTTCAGTAACGCTGTGATATCTTACTGTACTGTGACTCTCCAGGAGGGGGGTTGCTTTGCAGCATGTCCTAATCTTACTTAAGTTCTCCCACTGTGGTAAATGTCTGAGGGAACAAGTGTTCTTTCTGAACATTAGTGGGTATGCATTGCTCTAGAACAAGTCACAACTTTAGGGTATACCAGACTCCCTTGTGGAATTGATTAAAATGCATATTCCTGGGCTCTCAACCCTGGGCCCTGGGCCCTGGGTACAGCAATTCTCCTTCAGTAGAGAACCTGCATTTTTTTTTTTTTTTGAGACAGAGTCTCACTCTGTTGCCTGGGCTAGAGTGCCATGGTGTCAGCCTAGCTCACAGCAACCTCAAACTCCTGGGCTCAAGCAATCCTTCTGCCTGAGTCTCCCGAGTAGCTGGGACTACAGGCATGCGCCACCATGCCTGATTACTTTTTTCTATATATTTTTAGTTGTCCAGCTAATTTCTTTCTATTTTTTTTTTTTTAAGTAGAGATGGGGGTCTCACTCTTGCTCAGGCTGGTCTTGAACTCTTGAGCTCAAATGATCTGCCCTCCCCCAACACCCCCCACCCCCCAGCCTCCCAGAGTGCTAGGATTACAGGAGAACCTGCATTTCAAACAAGCAATAAAAGTTATTCTGATGCAGATGATTCAGGACCTCACTTTCGGAGACACCAGCCTAGGAGATGAATGGAGGTTTCACAGATAGCCAGGGAAGCAACCAAGAATTGGAATGGAAGATTGAGGAATGGGGCCCTCCCTCCTGGTACAATGGAAGGGCAAAGGCACTCTAGTGATGATAGGGATTGGAGAAGAGAAATCGCAGACACTCTGGGAAGGAAGGGAGGTACAGCTATGTGGCTGAATGTGAGAGAACTATAACCACTGTGAGTAACACTGCCAAGGGCTCAGACGTTGAGTAGGAAGAAAGTGAATGAGGGTGGTAGAAGGTCATGAACACCCTGGAGGAGTGTTGAGTATCACAGGTACTCTGGAGATAACAAGGCATCATGCCTTCACCATCTGCTATACACAAAGCACCCTACCAGGTGTTAAGCATATTGCCAGCCCCTAGAACTCCCATTTGAGTCAGGAAGACAAGCATGTAATCACATACCAGGAGGTGGCACTAACAGACACAGGGGACCCAGCCACATCTACCTAGAGGAGCAGCAACTCAGAGGCAACATCTGAGCTGTGCCTGAAGAGCGAGAAATTTGCCAGGTAAAAGAAGGATGTCAGTGAGGAAGACAAGCCAGCCATGAAGAAGGGAACCCTGCTAAGGCATGTGGAGGCAGAGAGGGCTGCTGGGCTGGGCGAGTGTGCGGAGGTAATGCTGCAGAGGTGGGCAGATGGGCACCTATTTGTGATGAGTCTGCTCTGCCATGCCAGGGGATGTGGACTTTACCCTTCAGGTAAGAGTTAAACTGCAGAGATGTTTTTTTTTTTTTGGAGGAGAGTGACATAATCAGTTCTGGTTTTTAAGAAGACAATGCTAGTTAAAATGCCATTCACACAGTCCAGGCAAGAGTGGAAGGCCTGAACTAAGGCAAAGGCAAAGGAAATAAAGGGGCTGCATTTGGGAGATATTTTTGTGGTAGAATCCAGTAATAGATTCAAATCCAATAATGGATTTGCAAATCCATTAAATATAAGATGTGAGAGAATAGAGTAAACTAATGTCTCTCAAGGTTTCTGCTTGTAAGATTGATGACAGTAGATGGTGATATTATTAACCAAGCCAGGAAATGACAGAAGGCCCATAAAGGGGGCAATTGGAGCGGGACTGAGTTCAGTTGTTGGACATGCTAAGGTTAAAGTGCCTTCAGGACACTAGTCAGAAATACTGGAAAGCAATGAAAGAGAAGAGCCTGGGAAACATAGCCAGAGTCGGCAACTTGGGAGTCATCACACCTCATATTTAAGTCACAACAGGGAGAAAGGTAAAGCAAGAATAGAGCGCCAGCGAACACCACCATTTAAAGGGAGAGCTATCAAGGCAACTGAGATCAAGTCAGAGAGGCCAGAGAAGCAAGACAGACCAATGTGATGGGAAGCTGGTGCACAAAACTCAGGCAGAGCCATAGTGCTCATGCACGCTGTGGGAGGCATTAGAGCATAGGGCCACCTGGAGGGAAGTGCAATCATGCTGGGGTCACAGGTGCTCTGGAAAGAGAACCAGCACAGACTAAAAACCAAACAACACTCTGTGCAGAGCAAAACAGCCAGAGCCCTCTGAGGGCAGCAGTGGAGGGTTGGAAACCTCCTCGTGGGGTGGGGAGGGAAGACCATTCTATCATTTGTGACTGTGAAAAGAATCCAAGTGTTTTGGAGCCTGACTACATATTAGTAGAACAATCTTGGGAAAATTAACTTTCCCAAGCTTCGGATTCCTCAAATGTAGAATAGGGATAATTCCACCTTCCACTCAGAGTAGCACTGAGGGTTGAATGAGATAAATATAGAGCCCTAGCTATGCCCTGGCACATGGGCAGCATTCAATACACATTAGTTACAGCTCCTTATGAAACCTTAAAAGGCCATATGCTTGATTCACTACCAGAAGCAGAGGGCTATAAAATGACATCCCATTCCCTTCCAGAAAAATTTCAGGACAGAAAAACCAAGTATTGGCAGCAAATGGAGCATCAAATAAACCAACCCTCTGTACTTTCAAGAGCTGAAAAAGTTGATACAGAAGCCAGAAATGGATTGAAAATTTTCCCTGACAGTGTGGTACACAGAACACTCTAAAACCAAAACTCTGGCAGAAGCTGTGTCATGGATACCCTGAGAATGGAGGAGATGTGGTAGAAGACACAGTTCTGAATATTTCAGGTGCATGACTTGGTGTGTAGGGTCAGGGGAAAATAATCATAAACACTCTGGAAACAGTAAAGGACCACAGACAGCCATGCAAAGACCCAGTGGTGGATGGAGGTAAAGGATCCCAAAATTTCCTAAGGGATCGGCGGGGAAGCCAGCAAAGCTGGAGCCCGGAAATGCTGAAGAGAGCACAGTCACTCAGGGTGGAAGAGCAGAGGGTCACTGACAATAAGGGGCAGCGGGAGGGATCAGACACTTTGGGAGGAAATAGTAGGGCTCCAGGTGCTCCGAGAGTACCAAGGGGCTTGTAACACAGTTTATACACATACACACACACACACACACACACACACACACACACGAGAAGGAACAGCAACCACTGCAGTCATGAGGATAGGAGTCCACAGGACCACCACATGTCCTAAATTCTCCAGAACACTCTCAATTCCAAATATTCTGTTCTGCTGTTCACAATAAAATATTCCTGAATGTGCAATTGTTTGCCAAATTACTGCCGAATGGATCAAGTCAGTAAACTTTAACACACACACATGCCATTGGCAAAAAAGAGGATGTACAAAAGAGAATGATGCCCATGGTGTTGAATTCAGTTAACAAGCTGTTTAGAAAAAAAATACCAGAGGTAATTCAACCCTGTTTTTATTCTCTAAAATATGTATATCTACCTGTGGGCATAGGAAAGCTTATTCGCTGAATATTTTTGTAGTTAACATCTTTTACCTTCTTTTTTTTTGAGACAGAGTTTCGCTCTTTTGCCTGGGCTAGAGTGCCGTGGCGTCAGCCTAGCTCACAGCAACCTCAAACTCCTGGGCTCAAGTGATCCTTCTGCCTCAGCCTCCCAAGTAGCTGGGAATACAGGCATGCGCCACCATGCCCGGCTACTTTTTCTATATATTTTTAGTTGTCCAACCTATTTCTTTCTATTTTTAGTAGAGACGGGGTCTCGCTCTTGCTCAGGCTGGTCTTGAACTATCTTTTACTTTTATAACCTCCCAAATTAAGATATTTTCATGTTGGAAATTTAAAAAAAAACAGATTGAAAGCCATAAAAGATGAAAAGGCATAGCCAAAGAAAAATCACAATTATGTGTGAAAATACATCCATCCCTACTTGCCTAGCTGGAAAGCCCGTGAACATAGGCCTCCCAAATGTGTTAGTAACCCAAAACTGACAGGCTAGGCTAGGTGTCACTGCAGTGAATATTTCACTATACTGGGGGTTTCAAATTTCCATTCTGGTATCAAAATGTTCACTTAGAGGAGATTTACAATAGGAATTATCTGTAATCAGTTTCGAAAAGAGTACTTTAGACATGGCCTGGCTTTTCTCTTCTGCTCCCTTTTCTTCTCATGGTCGAATGCTTTTCAGGACAGATAGCTTCTACTCTAATATCTTCCATTTCTTTTTTTTTCTTTTTTTGAGACAGAGTTTCACTCTTTTGTGCAGGCTAGAGTGAGTGCCGTGGTGTCAGCCTAGCTCACAGCAACCTCAAACTCCTGGGCTCAAGTGATCCTTCTGCCTCAGCCTCCCGAGTAGCTGGGACTACAGACATGCGCCACCATGCCCGGCTAATTTTTTCTATATATATTTTTAGTTGGCCGATTAATTTCTTTCTAATTTTAGTAGAGGCGGGGTCTCGCTCTTGCTCAGGCTGGTCTCAAACTCCTGAGCTCAAACAATCCGCCCGCCTAGGCCTCCCAGAGTGCTAGGATTACAGGCGTGAGCCACCACGCCCGGCCAATATCCTCCATTTCTTTAAGTATTGAGCCAGCTGGATAGCTTTTTTTTTTAACATCCTATTATTGGGATATAATTAGATAGCTAGAGATGCAGTGTTTACTCTACCTTTCCCGCTGTTGGCCATGT